AGCCGCTCCCCGGCGAGGAGCCGCTCTTCACCATTGCGCACACCCAGGAGGCCTTCCGCACCCGGGAGTATCCTTTCCAGCCGGGCAGGTCGGGGGGCCGCGCCGCCGGCGCCGGGGGCAGCTGTCAGCGCGGCCTGCACCCCGAGTCCATTCCCGCCAGGCCGGCGGTTCGTGGGGCGTCGGGCCCGCCCGGGGGTCCCGCCGCGCCGCGCGCTGGGCATCCTGCGCCCGGCGTCTCCCACCCCTCCCCCTTCGGTCGCCACTTTGTCCCCGGGTCTCCGGGACGATGGCGACCTGGGGTCTCCCCCGGGGCCGTCGGGCCGGCGGCGAGTTAATGTTTGGTGCGATCTCAGCGCTGCGCCCCAGTTGGCGGCCGCGTGGACGCGGCCAGCCCCGGGCGCGATTGCGGGGGCCAGCTTCTTCCCGGGCCCCTCCCGTGTGGCCCGGCAGGGAGGCCTCGAGCCCAGGGTGGATTTCTAGACGTCCGGGAAAGGAAGGAAAAGTTCCCAGGGAGGGCGGCCCCAGGCTAGAAAGTTCTTGAGATGGGGCGGCAGGAAGATGGGTATTGGTTTTGATGGTCATTTAATTAAAAAAACCCCACCAAACTTTCTTGCACGAAAACGCCCAAACAGGCTCTCAAGTTTTTTAAGCTTGGGTTTAGGGCCAACAGACTGCTGCAGGACGTGGCCTGTGTCCGCGCTGCCGCCTAAGCATTGTGGAAAGGTGCTTGCAACGAGGTCTTTGAACGCAGTTAGTCAACGGTTAAGTTACTTCTGGAATATGGAGGGCTGATGAAGCGTTTTGGAAGCGCGAGTGTAAGAGAGGGCAGGGGGTTGGTGGAAAAGATTTTCGAGATCAGGAGCGAGGTGAAGGGCTGATTGGTTTCGTCAGCTCCGTTTCCTGTGGAAGGGCTTGAGTTAGCGCAGGAGATGTGGTTCTGGACCCAGTTCATTTCCTTCGGCTCCTCCTTTGAAAGAACTCTAAGGTAATCTTCATGTGCTTTTGGGGACCGCTTCCGATGTGTTGGGTCTGCACACAAAGGGGCTTGGCAAAATGAGTCGCTTGCTTCTGGGCATGGGATGATAGGGAGATTCTCTCCAAAAGATAGCTGCTGAGACAGTTCTCTTCTGGGATTTAGGAAGCTGCAGAGGTGGTGGGAGCCGCCTGCCAGGTTGCTCAGAGGGTTTCCTGGGGTGGTTGGCTTGTTAAAGGTCACTCAGCACTGGGTGAATGATGGCTGTCAGGAGCCCTCCCAGGGCCTCCCGCCTAAGCACATCTGAGAACTCGCACTGCCGGATCTTCCCTGGGAATTCGTTGCCATGTCGAGCCAGCCAGGAGTCACCCCCCAAGCCAGTATTATTCTAAAGCACCCCGACGTACTTTTTCTAACGTTCCAAAACATCAGTGGAGTGAAAAAAAGCTCTTTTCAGGTGGCGTCCATCTTCTGAGCAGTTGGTGGGAAGTCATTTGCACGCTGCCATCAGCAGGGTCATTTCCAGGGCTAGTTCTAGTAGAGGATGAGTCGCATCAAGAGACAAGTTCTAAATCTGTAACAGGTCCTGAGCGCAGGGTAGCATGTCATGTAGTGAAGTCATCGAAATAGAAATATACACAGGGGCTTCCACAGGTTCCTGAGAAAATCAAATTTTTCCATGAACTATTTGAAGGCGCCCTTACCCTTATGTTTCTTGGGGAGAATAACGAGGCTTTATATTTGAATAAAAGATTTACAGTCTCAGAAATCCGTGGGCAGGTACGCTTCCCTGTAGTCACTATAAGTCATAATGGTTTTGCTTATTGTATGTCTGGGTGAGCTGCCAGGCTGTTGGTTAAGCTTTGGCACTACTAACCACAGGGTTGGCAGTTCAAGCCCAGCAAGTGCTCTGTAGGAGAAAGCTAATGCTGACTGCTCCTATAAAGATTTACAGCCAGGGAAATTAATGTGATCATTGTGAGCGGTAATTCACTTGATGGCGGTGGGTTTTGGTATACATGAGGAATTTCACTTGATGAGTATTGAAAACTGGGACTTGGGACTGTTTAAGGGTGTGTGTGTATGTGTAATAAAAATTCCTCATTTTATATTTCATAAATCAGTATTTAGTCTTTCCTGCTGAAGGAGCCCTAGTGATGCAGTGAATGTAGCAAACCACAAGGTCAGTACTTTGAACCCACCAGCTGCTCCACGGGAGAAAGGTGAGGCTTCCTATTTGGTAAAGATTTACAGCCTCAGAAACTCACCTTGGCCCTATAGGGTCTCTATGAGCCACAATTGACCTGATGGCAGCTAGTTTGTTGTGTTAAATAGGCGCCTTTTATCCACTTAGAACCTTTTCACCGCTAGTTAATTGCATTATGTGCTGGGGAGGGGGCTTCTCCTTTGGGAGTTGTTACAAAGGGAAGTACTAGGAGGATGGTTTTTAAACTTGTCCTGGCTGACTGGCAGGTTGGCATATTTCTTTATTAGGTTATTAGTGGTTTCACAGATGAGAGTATGTCGTTGGGTAACTTGCTTTTGAACTGTTATTTCCAGTTCTCAGGTTTATATTTATAGTTAGGTTTTTAATTGGTTTTAATATTTTAAATTTTCTAATAACTTTCTGACTGTCTACACACTCAAGAGCAAATGATGTGTTTTATTAAGAGCTGTGGGCTGATAGGGTCTTTATTTTGGTGAAAATATATACAACACCCAGACCCATTCTAAAATTCGGGGTAATTGATAACCGTGACACACTTACCTGTTGGGTGTGATTCTACCTGTTAACTGCTGTTAACTTGAGTGTTTCGAAAGTGGGTGGTGCCCATCCTCCTGTGGGGTGTGTGGCGCTGGAGTCATCCAAGGAGTCTTCAAAAGCAGTTTTTAATTGCCAGGGTAGTGCTGTGTAAACCCCCCCCCCTCCTCAAAAGGGTGGGGCGGTTAGGCCAAATACATTTGGGACTCCATCACTTAAAACTATCCCTTAAAGTTCTGTGTCTAGACTTACGCTTGTCCATCTGATCTCTTAAGCCCACTGCCCTGAAGTCAGTTCTGACTCTCAGTGACCGTTTGGACCGAATTGAGCTGCCTTACTCCGTTTCCAAGGCTGTGAATCTTGGCAGAAGCCAACTATCACACCATTCTCCCATGGAGCAGCTGGTGAGTTTGAACTGTCAACCTTTTGGTGTTAGCAGCCAAACACTAAACCATTGTCACCAAGGTTCATTTTAATCTCATTTAGGTAAGTAGTCATTCTTGAAGAGAGGGCAAAACTTAATGAGGGAGAGAGGGGGTAGGGGGGAGAAATGAGCTGATAAGGGCTCAAGTAGAAAGAAAATGTTTTGAAAACGATGATGGCAACAGATATGCAAATATGCTTGACACAATAGATGGATGTATGAATTGTGATAAGAGCTATATGAGCCCCCAATATAATGATTTAAAAAGAAAAGAGGGCAAAACACGTTCACAGTGAACATGCTTCATTCAGTGAGCTGCATGGTTTAGTTTTAAAATGACTTCATTCAGTAGTTTTGGTTCAGCCTTGAAAATTACTGGCAGCAGATTTAGGAAGTCCTTCAGGGGTCTGAATGTCCTAGACATTATAGTGTACATAATCATGAAGTTTAAGTTGGAAGTTGTGAGCAATTGCAAGCATTCGGTGACTGATTTTATATAGGATGGTCATGTTCACCGCACTCTGACGTAGTCCTGATGTGAGACAAGTACTTGATAGGTTAGGATCACAGGTGAGACACCAGACTGTAGTTGGAAAAAACTGACCTTACCAAAATAAGTTGCCCTTGATTCACAAAATGGGAATGATGTACTGAACTGTAAAATTCAGACAGATTTTAAGTAGGAATTGAAGCTAAAAGCAGCCTACTCTAGATTAATCTTTTCATTGCATTTCAACTAAAACACTTAACCTGTTTTCGTTTCTGAAGCTTTAGAAACACCTAGTTCATAAGTTTGGTTAGCATCATTGTATGAGAATTTTCAGGTGGTACATTGATAAGGACCTGTTAGAATATACAAGTCCATTGTTAGTGGTTACAGACAGGAAGTCCTTAATCTGTGGGTCATGACCCCTTGGGTGGGGGGGTGTCGGAGGACCCTTTCACAGGGGTCTCCTGATTCATAACAGTAGCAAAATGATAGTTAAGAGGTAGCAATGAAAATAATTTTATGGTTGGAAGGTCCCCATAACCTGAGGAACTGTATTAAAGGGTCTCAGCATTAGGAAGTTTGAGAACCACTGGATTAGAGCTTCTTGTAAAGTTGGGCAGCTGTAGATGGAATTAAAAGGAAGTTGTAGTTAATAGGACAGAACTCGATTGGTCAGTTGGAGTATTAAGTTTTTATAATGTAATTTCTTTTAAGTGTTAAGAGAGGCTCGGTTCATTTTTCACTTAATGACACTGGTCCAGGGAGAGGCAGTAGGGTAAAAAGCAAATCTTGAGTTGGTTGTAGTTGTCATTTTCTTACTTAGAACCTTTGGGGTTACTGTGCAGCTTTTTTACCTCCAAACTGTGTGGCCCACTTTCTTTCAGTCCATCCAGTACTTTATAAAAAGAAACAGTTCATAGAGGGCAAGAGAACAAAGAATGGACATTTTTCACTAAGATAACATAAACTCAGGGGAAAAAGTACCGGTAGATGCCTATGAAATTCAGATGGAAAGTATTTGATTGTTCATAGTTTCTACCTTTGGAAAATTGCTCAGCCATTCTGTCGGCAGTGACATCTGCTGTGGTGGTTGGCGTGTGCGAACCCCCATTGGCATTTGCACTAGGTGGTTCTTAGAGATTGAGCCATTTATTTTGGTAACTAAATCTGAAATGGGATTTGGAGGCAGCAGACTCACTCCCCTAAGAGGCTTCTCCTCCCCCTTTTATTTTTCCAGCTTTCCCAATGTAGTCAAAGTCATAGAACAGAGTTATAACAACTTAAAAATTGTTAGGGATCATCATAGGAATGTCACTTTTGATATTTTTGGTTTAGTTGAGAGAGAGCACTAGTCTAACTAAAAATTTTGAGTTAACATCGGGGCATTTGCTCTAAGACAGTGGTTCTCGACCTTCCTA